TGTTCATATATACAGACACACACACACACACACACACATATATATATATATATATATATATAATTATTAGACAACAATTATAATAAAAAATGAATTATATGTATTAAATTAAAATACACACACATTACATTTTGTAAATAGTGTGTGTGTAGTTTTGTATTGTAAAATTATTAGTATCATAGACAAAATTTCCAACTAGACATTTAGATTCAAGTTATTATTACTTAGTTCCATTTACCTTCAGAAAATCTTAAAACAAATTTGAGTTAGGTAAAACTCTGAACATTTGCTAAGCTATTGCTAAATGGTCTTCTGGGTGGTCCAAAGTCAAAAAGCCCATCCTGAAGTCCCTGCATAAGGCTTGTAGCACAAACAGTGCAATATGAAGTTGAATACTAAGGGCAATGTGTTTGTTTACATCCCTTAAATATGAGCATTAGCAAAAGTGATGCTTGTCTTAGCAAACACCCCTAATAAACAGAAGAAAACAAACACACTGAATTTTCTAGCTGATGTTAACATTGTAGGCCAGGCAGCAGCATTGCATGGCAGCACGGCACGATCCCCCCAGCCCAAGCCTTCAGCTTTTCGTTGTTTCCTGTTGGCTGGTCAATGAGTCGCGATCGCTTCTTGCACTGAAGTCGACTGGAGGGGTGGGGGTCGCAAAATAAAAGAAAACAAGTGTATCAATGAGAAGCGAGACAGGCAAAAACCCTCGCGAGCGGGAGGGTGTCGGGCCCCCGCTACGCGCTGTGACACAGCAGAGGGGGTTATTAAAGAAATGTTCATGCCCCGCGCTGATATAGGGGAGGACGTGCGCGCCTCTGTCGCCATCCTGTAACTTTCGTTAGATGTATTTTTGGATCACACAGCTGCAGCGAGTGCAGCCGGCGGTGTCAGCCCTATTCTTGCATCGAATGTGGCGGACATGAAATGCGGCGTGATGTTGACTTTAATCACGTTAAACGCTGTAATTTCGCTCTTGTTTTCCATTGGGAACAATATTAAGCCAACCCTCTGTTTACGACGAGGCCGATTAGAGTGACAATTATATTATGAGAAGCCACACTTGTGGGTCCTGGGAGCGATTTCGCAATCTCGTTGCTTCCTCTTGAGTCTCGAAATGTTAATATAGTTCAAACGGATTGCAATAGTAGAGGAGGAAATCAACTGAAGGCGGTTACGAAATGGTTTGCGACTTCTGTTGAGAGCTAAACATTTCCGCATAACAGCGTAATTTTGTTTATGAAGGAAAACGGGAGGGGTTTCAAAGTGACAGAAAAACAAAAAGACAGATAGGTCGGGGAGGGGCGGCTCTCGCTCATTATTTTGATTTGTGACTCTTTCGTATTTTTCTCCAGCTTTGTCCACTGAGGTAGAAGGCATGAGTCTGTGTTCCACGCAAACCGCTTGTTAGCGGCTTGAGGTGAGTTGGTTATAATGACTGAATTCATTAGCGCTGGAGTAGAAAAGATTGTATAAAGGAGACAAAAAAGGGGCAAGTGAAAGACAGGAAGAGGAGGAGGAACCAACATTGTGGCAGCCTCTGACCCCGGCGCATTCGGTTGGCAAAGTGTCGTTAAGGAGCGTGACAGCGACCTCCGTCACCCCGCCAGCAACGTGACCTCTTCACCTGCCAGCAAAGTGACCTCTTCACCCGCCACCTCCGCTTCCTCCCGTGTAAGTTGAAGGTATCTCAGGGGGCTTGAAAGTGCTACCTTGCTTCTTTCTACTTTATGTTCTCATAAAGAGTCTGGAGGTTGACGTGTCACTGTACTGTTGGTTTTCACAAAAATCATTAAAAAAATCTATGATATTCCAGCATGTGCCCAAAGACAAATCCTTTTTGAAGCTCATTTGAAGTCCCAACTTTGTCACATGGCCGAAATTCATCAACTTTGTCGCAGGAGATCACTGTAAGTGTGAACAGCCCTTTTGTCAGATTATTACTGTATATACAAAAGAACAAGAATATGAAAAAGTAGCAGGGTGAAAAAGGTGGCAATTATCTTGTCTCAAAGAAAATGCCTACAGACGGAGATGGAACGCGAACTGGCTCCGCAATGGACAAAATCGGAGCTGAAGCAATTAACATGACAACACAGAAACAAGTGTGTGTGTTTGCGTGTGTGTTCAAGGAAGGTTTATCCGACAACCGATACAAAAAGACACAACAGAGCAAAGAGAGAATCCAGACACCTCAGATCAGCTAGACGTCAGCTCTTATTAGAGTTGTCATTAACTTTCGTTAGTGCTTGTGGTACCGCAAGCCTGTTTAAGGTGGTTTGATGAACTCCAAACGATTTATAAAAATAAAAATAAAAACATGTTAAGAAACATCAAAAGATTCATGGAAGAAAGTGGTACATTTCCTTTATGTTGCAGTGTTACATTCATCCTCAACATAAATAAATTAATAAATACATAAACACAAACATATAATTAAATACATAATATCAAATAATTAATAAATAATTTGTACAATTATATAATCAATTATGTAGTAATAATATTAATAATAGCAATGAATATGCATAAAAATTAATAAAACTATTGTGTGTATATATACACACACACATATATTCATATAAATTATTCATAAGTTACAAGTGCTTTACTGATAAGATGCGCGTTAAATATCGCATGCGATTTATCGTGCAGCCCTAATATATATATATATATATATATATGTATATACTGTATGTATGTATATATGTATATATAGACAGACAGACAAGACAGACAGATAGACAGATAGATAGATATAATTTTTATACACACATAAATTATATAAATTCAATTACATATTTTGGTATACAAAACATAATAATATTATTTAAATAACACACAAAACCATAAAGCAATTTATCATATTTATGGCTTTGTGGTGAATTAAAATGCTGGCAGGGCATGTATTGTAGATAAATAAATAAATATTTAAAACTGCTGGTCTGAAATGCTTATTGTCGAAAAATTTTATTTTGTGGCACTGCAAATGGGGAAAAAAAAAAAGAAGTCAATCTTGGCCTGAAGGAACGATACAAAGAGGACCGTGTTCTGTACTTGCCTAACAGAAAAAGAGAGGAGAACGAGGAAGAGGGAGAAAGAAAGAGCTGAAGGTCTAATCCAGATCAATTGTTTTCCGTTTCTGAATATCTCTCTCTCTCTCTCTCTCTCTCTCTCTGTTTCTCTGGTATCGGGTCTCGGCAGAGGCACCTTTAGAGATCCTAATAGCAGCACATGGTGTCGGTCTCTCTTTTCTCTGGTTTCTTACCTTCAGGAGATCTATTTCTTTGATGCAATCTTGCCGAGCTTTGGCATCCATCAAGTCGAATATCTATCAAAAGATCAAAAGGGAGAGAGAAAGAGGAAGGAGAAAGAGAGTTATGGCATAAAGACAGAAAAAGAAAAAGCAAGTAAAAAATGTTACTGGTACTGGGTGGTAGAGCAAGAAGGAGGGGGTACGTCACACTGAAACCCAAAACCCCCAAACGCCTGCCCCACCACATCTACACCCCTCCTGCCTCAAGCATCCCTATTTTGCCAGATTCACCTGTGCTAATGGGTCAGGAGAACTGTGCAAGACCACAGGGTTCATTTTATGTAATGTTTCATCAAAATACTCCAATAGCACAAAAATCAACATGTATTTATTTAATTACATTAATTAATTTCTCTTTTAATTTCTTTATTTATTAGTAATAATTATAATTAAATTACTGCTAAATTACTACAAAAAGCTTGTTTTGATTAATTTATTGATCTTTGAATTTATTTGTATTCATTTATTTATTACTAATTATTTATATCTTTATTTGTATTAATACATTTATATATTTCCCGAATTAGTTTATTAGCATTTTTTTTATTACAAATTATTTATATTTTTATTTACTTGCATTACATTTATTTATCTTTTATTTATTTCTTAATTAAATATAATTAAATGAATATTTTTAATTATTTAAATAAGAAGTTTCATGTCCACATTCTGACAACACAATTTATTTTGCTATAACCGTCTGACTTTACATTTTGCCGTACTTGTTGTAAAACAAGATTGTTTGTGCCGTTTTAGAATATCAAAAGCTGATTATGCCGACAGAATGTTAGATGTATCTGTTAAAACACTGTTTTGATCATGTCTGTCCTGATTATAATAAAGCACACAGTGTAAACAGCAAACAGAAAATCTTATGAGCATCTCAAGACAAAAGTCGAAAAATCAAACGAAAACTTCCAAACCTGAAGCGAGTGAATCTAGTCCAAATATTCATGCAATCAGGGTTGCACAACATTTGCGTCAGAAAACAGCGATTATAATAATTATCGTAATCACAAAAGGTGTAAATGTTGCCCATAGTGGACTGGACATCCAACCTGACAGCTTTGAACCATGTACAAAATCCGAGGGATTGAAGTTGATTTGCATTGCAATATGTATGAAATATTATGTATCTGCAGCTCTAAATCTTGAATTTTTAAGCCAACAAGTGGCATGAATGAACTGCATTATGGGATATATTCACTGAGTCAAGACTGTTACTACCAGTCATTTTTAATTGCATGTACAAAAATGCCAATTGTTTCTGGGCTCATCATTAGTGTTAATAAAGTCAGTGGTAGCGACAGAGTCGACCGCTGTGTGTGCGTTAGGAAAGCAGAAGCGATAGTATCCAGGCACCACTCTTTTAATCTTGAGCTTGCCAATTATTTCTTCCAGCACGTCTGCTTTGCACATCCGGAGGAAACTGTGGAGCTTTTTTTGTGCTGGCTGTGTCTGTGAATATGCTTTATGGCAGGAAAAGAAACAGATTCAATCGTGATTATCAGTGTAAGAGCCAATCAGATGCCTGCTTCTGTTCGAACGAAATTTGCACAAATGTATTGATGGCTGTGTTTATGAAAAAAGGGTTTTGCTGCTTTCCAATCAATCAATCAATCCAGTAATGTTTTATCTTATAATAATGTTTTTGTTATGCGAAATTCATGACTCAATGTTCCAAAAAAATTAACAAACAAATTAATAAATTAATAAATTAATTACAATTCCAGATTTGATTAGCCACTGACTTTAGATTAAACTCATATAAAAAGTGTTTCAATTTATAGTACTGTTTTATCTTATAATAATATTTTGGTTAAAATAAATAAATAAATAAATTCCCGATTTGCTTAGCCACTGACTTTGGATTAAAGTCATATAAAAAGTGTTTACAATTTCCTTCAGCTGTGTAATCGTGTGTTGCAGCAGAACAAATGTT